GTTGTTGTTGCTGTTGTTGTTGCCGTTGTTGTTGTTGTTGTCCAAAAAGGTCACGGTGAAAACAATGTCAAAGCAAATAAAGAGACAGGATGAAAAGCTAAAACAATCTTCTTTGTCTGTTTTGCAAGGGAAGCACTTATAGCCAGTTGCTAACAAACCTATGCGCCCCTCGTTCCATGATTGAATTGGAATTTACAAGTCGATTTTAGTGTAGAGACGAAACTTTGAGAACCCTTGAAGCACAGGGGAGAGGAACTCTACTCTCATATACTACACAGAAATAGAATCCGGGTCGCATTGATGAGAGGCAAGCGCTCTCACCGCTACGCCATTCGTGCTTCCCAATATAGGAAAACCAAATGGACACGCGTAAAAAAGGGAAAAACAATCGAAGCAACATGGAAACTTGGCTGATTGAAAACATGACAAACAGTTTACCTTGTAGACCTCATGGTAAGCATTCCTAAGTAATGCGTACGGGAAACATGATTCTAACACGTCCATTGTAAGGTAAGGAGTTTGCTGTACGATCTAAATGATAAAACCAATAGTAACTTATTTCATCATAAAGAGCTAATCAATCATTCGAAATTTACTCTGCTTACCAAATCCAAAAGAAGATAAGTCGATTCTCGAGTTTTCAGGTCTTTTTCAACGTCCATGCCAAGCTTGAGAAGACTTGAAGAAGCGATCTTAACATTCAAAAAATTGATACGAATTACTTCAGACTGTTAGTACTAATTACATCCTATGTTAGTTTGAGTGTAATAATGCTTTCCCATTCCGCAACACGTGTCATTCCCTAGAGTATCATTTCGTTGTTTAACGGTTACGCATAAGAAAAAACAACTGGATACAACTTAAACAAAGAATTAAAAAAATAAAAAAATAATAGGAATTAACAGTGGCATTTTCACAGTGGCTCTTCATCCACTGAAATTCCGATTGGAAATTAGAAGTTGATTTTTGCGGTGGGAAGAAAGCCGGAGAACCCGAAAACCCCTCGAAGCACAGGAGAGCGCCAACAAACAACTCTACTCACATACAGAATCTCATTCTCAAGGAAACGACACATGGTCTATTCTCGACTTTCACATACCCATAATGCCTTGCGACTTTGGGGTAACCAATCAAAAAACTGTCTCAAAAAGGTTTCTTAATTGAATTTATGCTATACCTGCTTTTATCTGTACAATACTGATTATCAGTTTATTCCAAGTAACTTTTTAGTGTACACATCATCAAGAGTTTTGGTCTTACTGAAAATGTATGGACTTACGCAAAAAAGGTTTAAATTTAACTTAAACGTCTTCAAGCTTCTATCTTTTTCTGTTTTTTACTTCTTCATTTTATTGTTGGATACCAAACAAGGTATTTTCAACATTGTCTGATCAGCCTTCAGCAAAATAAGTGGGTTTTTACCCTCTGTTACCCCCCAAAGACGCAAAGTATTATGGGGTTGTGAAAGTAGAGAATAGTGGGAAAACATTACGCCAAAGTGGAAAGGGTCTATTCTGCGGCTGACCGATGTGTGAGTAGTGTTTCTTGACTCGTAKTTTTGTTAAACGAAAAGTTGTTAAGTGCGACTCACACCTCAGGAAAATTTGTTACCAACAACGTTGCACAGAACTCTTGCTCCGTGCGTCCGAGCATTCACTAGAGTTTAGTTTTGAACATTATGAAGCATCATTATACTCACAGCTAAGAATTCTCGTAGCTTGTCCTCCGGATTATCGCCATTATTGTGACACAGAGCACCAGTCAGGTAATTTAGAGCCGTTCCTATACAGTGGGCATTGTTCTCGGTTGCTTCATGAAAAGAGGATTTAGTTGTTCAGTTAGGATTATGAATCTAGTTTCAGTTACTGTCGCCATTGTATTACAGCGTTGGAGAATCACAAAATGACGCGAAAATAGGCCATTTGTACGGTGGTGTCATCTTACTACCACTATCAAAATGCTTCACGAATTTTCTTTCTTATTCGAAGTTGTTTTCCTCATGAGAATAGTAAGTGTTTTAATAACTGAACAAAAGAAAGTGTGCAAGGGAGTCTGGTAGTGGTAGGAAATGACCCTATAATTCAAGTGACCTATAGTCTAAGATAGGATTGGTAAGATTTTTGCGAAGGGAAGAAAATTGGTGGACCCGAAGAAAACCCTCGTAGCACAGGAGAGAACGGACAAGATCCATACCTTCAAGTTCGCTAATGTACATTGTAGCATCTTTGTATGCCAACGATGGAAGAGCGACTGCAATGAATACCTGGAAAAGAATACTCAACTCGCTAAACTTTCTGAGGAAATTTTAACTGTGAACTCGGGCATGCGATAAGCAGTAGAACAACTTACCTGAAGAAGAGACCAAATTTGAATGTCGTCCTCAGATTTCTTCTCTAAAATAAATAAATATGTATATAAATGCACTAAGAATCATATATGCAAACAAACTCACTAGTTGTAACTCGGTGATTATAGTCAAACCCCACCGAAGCCAGCCAATCGGGCGCAACAAACGAAACACAGTATACGGATGAAACACCACCCGATTAGCTCAATTGGTATAAGAGTGTCAGTCTGTCGTATGAGAGGTCGTGGTTCAAGCCTCGGCCGGACCAACCCTCAGGGTCTTAAAATAACTGAAAAGGTGCTACCTTTGTAATTAAATCTACAAATGGTTAGACATTCAAGTAGCTCTGTTGACCACGTTAACGTTGGTCCTGTCCCTAATCAATGAGAGACCTTAAAAGAGGAATACGATTGTGTCAGTTCAATTACTGTCAAGTGTCATCCTCTATAAACAAAGTTGATTGATTGATTTATTTTAAAGAAAAAAAGAACGAATGACTAAAATTCGAGAACAATAAAACGAAGTGAAGATATTCCATCCATTTCATAGATGATTCAAAACGTTAGAATAAACCAAACAAATAGCACTAACCTTTAAGGGATCTTAATGCTGTGCATAACAGTGGCTCTACGATACAGTCCTGGCCAGCAGCAGTGGCCATCTCATCTACGATCTAAAGGAAAAAAGATCATCGTTACTACCACCACCACCACCGCCGCCATTCTTACCATTCACCTTCAACATACATCATCATCATATTTGTTTGGATCATCTTCATCGTAAATCATCAGGCATCATCATTATCCTTATCAACACCCGGCATCTTCATGACCCTCGCCATCTTCATCGTACATCATCATCATCATCATCCTTAACAACACCATCATCATCATCGCTATCCATCTTCATCGTACATCATCATCATCATCATCATCCTTATCAACACCCGGCATCATCAC